TTGGGCCCCTGAGCCCTGCTTGGCACGACCCCAAGCCCTCTTTCTAGCCTCACTGCTAGGGGACAGCATCTCACTCTCCCCACGGTCCAGGCCAACCAGACCTTCCCGGAGCCTCCCTCATTCTGGTTTATCTCCAGGTGTGTGGTCCGACCATGCACTCTGCCAGGGGCTTGTATCCACACTCATTTCCGCCTGCGGGAGCTCTTCCCATGTTTAGAGCCTGTCCAGACGCTTCTCCTCCTGACCACCCCAGGGAACATAGAGCTTGCATCCTGAATTTCTGAGTTACATTGGCCCTTGGCCCCAGTCATCCCCTCTGTGGTGGGGGCGGGGCTCAGAGCTCTCCTCGCACCAAGAGTGAGCTCATGTCATCGCTGGCCAGCAGGGACAGAGGCAGCTGGAGAAAGGCAGTGCTTGCAGGGCCTGAGGGCCTCGGGCTGGCAGCCTTAAGAACTCTGCAGATGCATGTGTCTTCTAGCAGTCAAGAAAACATATATATTTGACCATTTTTAAATTGTTTAATACAGAAAATTTCAAATACAAAAGCAGAGCAAGGAGTGAAATGAATCCTTTAGCTCCCTCCCCATTTCCACGGTGAAGGGCATTCAGCAGCTGTGAGGCTGCATTATTAGCACACGGCCTTGTAGGCGCTGTTAGCTGACATCTGTTGGGCATCCCTGTGTGCACAGTGCCAGTCCATGCGGTAATTCGTGCCAACGCTGTGGCCACCGAGGTCCTTGTGATGGTTTTGGCCACTCATGTTTCAGAAGTACCTCATTACTGCCTCAGCTGTTTTCAAACTCAGATTTTAGCAGCAGGGCCCTTTTTCAAACACATGTTATCTCCAGCCTTAATGCTCAAACCAGATAAAGTAGTATGAGCACAAATCTTTATTACAAGAGTTTACTTTTGTATTATTTATTTATAAAATCATTTTGCCTATGGGAAAGAACCATGAAACTGCCATGATGAATATTAATATTTGGATTTTGATAGCAATTCCAGTGTCACACAATTCCATGTATCCCAATATTCTGTTTGTATGAACGATATTCAGAAATCACTGAGTCACCCCGGTAAACCGTTGCTAATGGCAACAGTTTTTAATCTTGTGTTTACCCATTTGCCTTGTGATCTTGAGAGTCTCTTCAATTAAATTGATTCAAATGTTTGAAGGAAAAGTTCGTAGGAACTGGGTTTTTTGTGTTTTATTTTTTTTCAAAGTTGAATCACTGATCTAACAGATGCTCACAGTCTTTATAAAAATATAAAAATACAGGAAGAAACCCAAGCTTAAAATAAGCAATACTTTGTACCCTGCACCATGCATCAGACCACACTTTCTGTGTTGCTGCTGCTGAGAATGGTGGTGGGGAAAACATGTCCGGTCTGGGACAGGTTCACTGCAGTAGGATTTTAGGCACGAACTTGAATTTTTTAAAAGAGCAATGGAGATCTCATTTGGTGACTCCTTTCTTTACAAGAGTTCAAATGCATGGACATTCATGGCAAAAAGCATTTTAGTTTAACTTCTACCCAAAGGGAGTTAAACGGGCCACCTAAATTAATATATTGGTAGTCTCTGAAGAGTTAAAATTTTGTTAACAGTCATGTAAGTGTGTGTTGACTTTTATTGCCATTTTCAAATCCAAGAAAAAGAAATTATTGGAGTCAAACATTGGCAGGAACCTTGAGGGACCTCCACAGAATTTCAGGGTTCCAAAGAACCCAGCTTGAAAATCATGGTACTACCCAGGGTGAGTTTGTGAAGGCCCATGGTTTCAGCTATTTTGTACCTAGTCACTGTTTATAAAGTGACTCTTTGATACAGTCAGATACAGACTGCGGTTAAGCAAAGAATATTTACTCTTGATCCTACTGCTCTCTCCCTGTGTGTGTTTGGAAGTGAGGAGGTGGATGTGTCCTTTTTCATCTCAGAGGACTATGTTTTTATGACAACTTAGCTATCCCTCCCTCCCTCCCTTCCTTTCTTCCTTCCTTCTTTTAAACTTCATCACATTTTTGTTTGTTTCATATTCAAATCATGACTTCCTTGTACAGTTTTTTCATGGAGTTTCTGGTTGCTTTCTTTTTTATTTTTATTTTTATTTTTTTTTGAGACAAGGTCTCAGTCTGTCACCCAGGCTGGAGTGCAGTGGCATTGTGCTCACTGCAGCCACCAACTCCTGGCCTCAAGTGATCCCCCTGCCTCAGCTCCCCCCACCCCACTGCCTGGAGTAGCTGGGACCACAAGGCATGTGCCATGATGCCCGGCTAATTTTTCTATTTTTTGTAGAGATGGGGTCTGCTTGGTTCTCAGGCTGGTCTCAAACTCCTGTCCTCAAGTGATCCTCCTGCTCCTCAGCCTCCCAAAGTAGTGGGATGACAGACATGAGCCACCACGCCTGGCCTGGTTGCCTTTTTTCTTATTGCAAGAATTTTTTTAAATGTGTCCTTAATCAAATCCATGATGTTTCCCAGCTCACTGTGTATTCTTTCTGTCCTGAATCTGCTCCATTCTCTCCCTAGGACCCCAACATCTGGCTCTGATTTGGACCCACCCTTTTCTAGGTCCACTGCCCAGCCCGTTGTGGAAATTCCTTTTCTTGATCTCCAGGTTTAATCTAAAAGTGTATTTCTTCTCTCTTGGTTTTCATGCTCATTGTTCCAAAGCTGACCAATGAAATATACATGGGAAGCCGGCTCTCTGAGGCCTTAACATTCTTGAAAGTGGCTTTTTTTTTTTTTTTTGCCTTCATGCTTGGGTGGTTTCTTTCTGTTCTAGGAAGCTTCTTTGCATTATTTCTTTGGTAATTTTCTCCCTCCCACTCTCCCTGTTGGCTCCTGATGCTTCTGGTAATGGAACGAGTTCCCCTGGCCTTATCCTCTGAGCCATTCCTCCTTGGTGCCCGACGTTTTATTCCTGTGATTTCTATCAGCCTAACCTCTCACCCATTTATACAGTAATTTCATAAGTCACATCATTAATTTACACATTTTTCTATGTTTTTCTGTTGGCAATATCGTCTTGAATTTTTGGAGGATATTACTTTTTTTTAATTTCAGCATATTATGGGGGTACAGATGTTTAGGTTATGTATGTTGCCCTTCCCCCACTCCCAAGTCCGAGCTTCAAGGGTGTCCATCCCCCAGATGAGTATATTACTTTTAAATGAAGTAATTTTTCAGTGTTTTTGTTAGGGGAACTTCTGAGAAATGGAATTGAGAAACTTCTGGGAAATTCTGCTAAGACCGCAAAACAGTTAAACAAAGTTATAAGCATGTCACAAAACAAATGCCTGTAAAAACTACTGCTAATTGGCTATCTTTTGAATCCTGTTGCTAATTGGTTAACCACTTATGCTTGTGTGCTATTGGATGTGTGTAACCCAAAAAAGTATAAAACTAGACAAAAATAAGGAAGCGGTGCTCAGAATTTGGAGACAAGTCTCCTCTGGGCCCACCAGCAAATAAAACGCTGACTCTCCAACTCTCCGCATGCCGCTCGGTTATTCCCTTCAGGACCAGTCGCTGTAACACTTGCTGTAACATTTTCATTGGCTTTTTCTGGATCGTTTTTGTGTGCCCGTTCTTGCTTATGTGTCTCATGCTGAAGACTGCCCTCAAATGTCTCGTGATCCTGAGTTTTCCCCTGGGAGGGCCTCGGGCACAGTAGTGGGGGGCAGTTCTCACCAGGGCCCCAGGTGCCAAAGTGCAGGGAACTTGACTCTGTGGTGCTGGCCCCTGACTGGCTGCCTGCGTTTTCTGGAGGTGGTTTTTTATTTACATGTACAGCTGTGTTTTAAGGGTACCGGGGATTTGTTTAAATCAGGTGTGGTAAGACACAGAGACCCAGAAATGACTATCATGAAGGAAGGATTTACTTACCCCTCCTTACAAGCAGGAGGCTTGGCACACCACACAGGGCCACGCTGGGGGACACCAGGGTTGGTCAGGTGGCAGACGGAGTGGGGAAAACCCAGATAGGAGACTTCATTGTGGTTTCTGCAGGAAGGAACGGAAGATGCAGCGTAAGCAGGCTTAGCCTTGGGACTGGCCAGTTTGAAAGACTTCTGCAGGCTCTGGGGCAGAGGACTCTCCCCACTTGGCTGGTACCCGGCCCTGGGGTGATGAGGGCAGGTAGATGGTGACCCCAAGCATGACAGCCTGATGAAGGAGATATTTGGGGGAGTGAGCTCTGGACTGAGTGATTTGTATTTGAAAGGGGAGCTCATGATCAAGTTGTTTACTATGTCTGGGACTTGACTAGTCCTGGGAGAGGCAATCCCTCCAGGGACAGCAGGACCCCAGATGGCAAAGCATCAGAATACAGAAAATCTAAGACATGGTTAATGCAGGCTGTTGGTTTAATTGCTCTTGTTTTTTCCTGTGTGTGTGGGTGTCTTTGTTTCCTTTATACAAGTTAACTCCTGGCTGCAGGACACTTGAACATGTGCAGGGCAGGGGGCTGAGGTGCATTCATCTAAAACTTGAACTTAATTCTGCTGCCTTCCCCCCTACCCTGTCCTTCTTGTCATCACTAATTGTGGGCCCTCTGGTGCAGTTTCGGTCATTCAAGATACATGTATTAAGCACCAACCAAGTGTGGGCCCCGCTCAAGAGGCTGGAACTAGAGATCTGAATGCAGCAGGTCAGAATCCCTGCCCCATGGGGCTCTGGGGGAGCAGCGTGTTACCCCAGCTCAGGAGGGCCTATGTCTGCCCATGTCCTCCTAAGTCATTTTCAGGTCTCGTTTTGGTTAAGAGCTGTGCTTTGTACATGTTAAGAGAAAAGTCACAGTTAATATGAACATGGAAATGGGGTAGACACTGGCTGCCTCCAAGCTGTGCTCTGAGAAGACTTCCTGGGAGACCCACGGTGGTGCTCGCAGGCCACGTGTGCATTGCCTGAGTGCAGACAGGAGCCGACGACAGCCCCAAGGGCACTGGGGGAGATGCACTACCTGGTCACGCGGGCTCATGAAACCCTTTTCCTGTTTCCAGTGCTGACGAGCGATTTGACGCCACGTTCCACACCAATGTCTTGGTGAATTCTTCTGGGCACTGCCAGTATCTCCCCCCAGGTAAGTGCCAGTTCCTTTGTCCTCTTCCAGCTAGAATATTCAAGTGAGTTTGGGTATCAGTCCTGACCGTGCCCACCCGAGAGGCGGACCAGCTTGGCATGCTGTGCAGCCCGCACCTCTGTCACTCCCGCCCCTCCTCTTCTCTTCGTGCCTGCACGTGTTTCTTACCTCCAGAATGCAGTCTTCCTCCTTGGTCTGGAATCCTGATGGCTCCAGCTGTCTTCGCTAATGTGTCGTATGTTACTTTATTTTAATTTCTGCACTGTGTTCCTTAAAGTTAATCCACAATTAACTTGCTGGGTAATTTCCAGCTCACCTTCAGCCTGCAAGCCGGATCTCCAGGCCCTACTTCTCCATTTCAGCTGGACGTTTTCCTTCCCACTGGACTCCCTATCTTGGCAGGTGCAGCCCTCCAGCTTCTGGGAGTGGGACGGCAAGAGTTCCTCAGTCCCATCTTGAGTGCATATATTGTAGAGCACATGCGGGCTCCATGTAAGGTCCTGTGATTTCAAGGGAGTAGTCAGTGACTACTTGTTCCTGAATGAGTTTCTGTCCTTCTGGACACCCGACGGTTAACTGCTTCCTGGGATTGGTTCTTCTCCCACCAGCTCACCATTTCAGTGCATTCACAGGGCCCTGGGCTCTCAGTGAACTATCCATCCGTGGGACACTGGGGGCTATGGCCTGGGGCACATTCAGGGTGTGTTTTAGCATGTTGATATTAACAGTTGTGGTTTCTTGATCTTTTAGGAGATTTTTTACAAATTCTTTTCCAGGATTATCTCCCCCACCTCAGCTGTTTGTTTTGTTTAACATCCTGCTCACAGGCCATCTGCAGCTACCTCCCCACCTCCCCACCACTGCTCACTCGCACA